GAGTGTGTGTGTGTGTCCCTACACTTATGATATATTGACACATGAACAGTGCTTTGATTTAATAGAATGTTTGCACGCAAAGGGAAGAGAAATGGGTTGTTCAGTTAATGCACAAGCCGCTGAGGTCAGTGAAGTTTGGAAAAAGAAAATAACGGGGGGTTGTTACCTTAGTGCAATGGAAGAGTTGTGAAATAGAAATTGAAAAGTGGGGAGGAGGTTACTACTGTAGTACACTCGTGAAAGGAAACTTTGAGGGAAAAGGGGGGGGGGGTGTTACTGAAGCACAATAGTTGAAGAGTTGTGAAAGGGAAATTGGAAAGAGAAGGGGCGGTTGAGGCTGTTAGCGTAGTGAAATTTATTGAAGAGTTGTGGAATGGAAGTTTGGATGGAAATTGCCTGGTTAGAGAGCAATAGAAGAGTGGGTAATGAAGGGAATAATGTTTTTCGAAGGGTGTGGACTTTATGTTGTAAACTTTAAGTCACAGAGATGTGACTCTTCAATGTTTAAGCCAATGAGTATATGGTTCTATTTCTATCTGGATTCTACTGCATTTAACTGTTGTTTAGTCGGGGTTTCAACTATCTCAAGATCTTTGAGCTGCATGAATAATTTATATAAATATGATTGGTGAAATGGAAGATCGAAAAAGGGAGGGGGGGTGTGGAGTGTTTCCGTAGTACAATTGAAAAGATGTGGAAGGGAAGCTGGGAAGGTGAGGGAGCAACTAAAGAGTTGTGAAAAGAAAGTTGTGGCCCGGACAGCCCAGTTTTCATGTACTTATTACATCTTGATCTATCTCTATGGACCCTTGTTAATTGATCCAACTGCTGGGCTTTTTGTACCACAGGTTATGTGAGAAGAATTGTTTTTCTAATGAAGCCAAATACACAATTAGTTGCTTTGAAGTATGGACTGGTTTTATACCTGAGTTTTTTGTAAGAGTGGTTTTGAGGCGGGGCTCTGTGGTTCTTTGGGGGAGATAACGTGGGTGAAGTTTTTTTGTGCGGATGAGGAGGTTGCTAAGATTCGTTAGTTGGTCAGGCCGGTGGAGGTTGGCCAGGGGGGCGGGGGGTGTCTGGGGAAGACAGTCTTTCATTTTGTCTTATTGCTCCTTAATGTTTTTGTGTTGTCTTGCTATCCATTTGATGAACGTTTGATAACTGTTAGTGATGATTTGTGACAAAATATGGCCTCTTTTGACTGAACCTACGGAGTTTGTAAGTTGAGATCACAGATTTTCTTAATGACGGGCGTGACAAGAATACCGCAGTAACAATTTGATCAACAGACATTTGCGATTATGCCTCCCCACTCAGCCCCCTGTTCGGTGGTTCTAAGAAGTATGGAAATATCTTGATTATATCCTGGTGCAAATGGTGAAATGGTATAGGTTTAACCCCCTATCAACACTATTAGGTTACTTAAGAGGCGGGACCTCCGAGTGTAACAACCATCTCCGAAAGGACGGAGACAAATGGGGAATTCGTGTCAAGTGCTTTTTCCAAGGACACAACGTAGAACCGAGCTGAGTGCTTTTTCCAAGGACACAACGTAGAACCGAGCTGAGTGCTTTTTCCAAGGACACAACGTAGAACCGAGCTGAGTGCTTTTTCCAAGGACACAACGTAGAACCGAGCTGAGGATCGCACACTTTAACCCACAATATCACGATTACGAGTTTGGTAGCTTAACCACTAGTCTATCGACGCCACCTACTATTTTCTGCTACAAGAGAATAATAATACTGACTTTTTAAATACATTGCCCTCGGCCCGCCGCTGCCTGCGTTTTCATGAATCTTTCTGGTTAAGGCGAGCTATTTAGAACGCTTGCTACAGAATATGAAAGTAAAAGATATTGCATTTGCCTTTTCCTTTTTGTTCTTACTTGGCATTGTTGTGCACTTCGGCTTTACTCAGCTCGGACTTTTGGGGGGTTTCTTCTCCTTCCGAGAACCTCTCAGACTTGCTTTATAACACGGTACGTTGCTTTCAGTATACTATTAATGTCTTTAATTATTGACATCATTCGAAGTTGTGTAAAAGCACTGACCAATCACAATTTATAATCTTTCAAAACCTAAATCTTTGTCTTCATTTTAAAAATTTCAGTTCCATAGAAATGTGTATAATTTATTTAAAGAATCCGGTGCTAAACCTGTGTCTGCAGAAAGCGTATCTTGTAGTATTTTTAGAAAGCAAAAACTGCAGTCTGTCTTTTCCCATCAGGATTATCTCTACTTTTTTCAGTTTGACGAGTTTCCTTACGGCGCAGTCTACAACCTCACAATTCAGGGAAACGGTACTGGCGAATGCAGGAATGCTTCCACTTCCAAACAAATCTCTAACGTTACAGCTTCAACAAGTTTGTATTTTGCTCGTTTTAGCTTTAAGAGATAGAAAGAAAAGAAACAATAAAGAGTACAGGTTTTGGTGAGATGCTCTACGAATGAAGTCACATTCCGAAATCTGAAGGGAATTTTACTGAAAGCTACAATGGAAAGGTGCTGTTGTAATTAATTTACTCGTAACTGTCTGTCTAGATCTTTTGCTTAAATTATTGCTTCATTTTTTCCATAAAAAATGTTTTAATCGAAAAAGTCCAAAACCACACCCTGATGATACATTTAAACAATATAAGACGCAAATAAATATCCGAGGTAAAACGTTCCTCCGTACTGAAGAAAGGCATTAGTCCTCGATTTTCTTTTTTTTCTGTGGTTACAACCCAGTAGCACATGTAGACTTGATTAAATCTATTTTCATTTTTATAATCGTCGGCAAGGCTGTATCTAAAAGCAATCTTTTTGTTTTTCTTTCTATTACTTTCTTTCTAACTTTTATAATAGAGGACAGGGTGGAGATGGGGATGGAGTGGGGGTGTGATGAAGCTGTAATATTCTTTATCCTCTGATTCTAACTCCAATATCGTTTAAAGGCCCTTGTCAAGTCTCACAATTTCTTGTGCTCTGTGCAAAGCAAGCCGATTTAAGGTTAAGTCCATGCTTTGTCTGTGAAATTTGAGACTGCCTTGTTTTCCGATCTTTTTGAAACTATTATAATATTATATTGTTTATTGCAGAGACAAAATCCTCCATACATTTGAAATTAAATATGGCAATTGCACGAACGTTGAAACACCTCAATACATGCGCGAACACATTTTTCTTTTTCTTTATTTTCATACAATTTTGCCAAGTCTGATTACTTAAGGTCAAAGTTAAGTGATCATATCTTGGGCGATTCATAGTTATCAGATGATGCAGAATTTATTTAGCTTCATTTTGGTATGCTGCCTGAGTGGGTAGTTCAAGGTTGAACACGATGATTGTTTTATTATTTTTGTCTAGTTTTTCCGGACATATATATATATATATATAT